GCAGGGTGACACCCCAAATGTTTTCCATTTTCAAGCTTGTATTCCTCAACTCCAACCAACATTTCCTCAATTTCCTCAGTTTATCAGATTTTGTGTAGCTCACTATGGAGACACAAAAGGCTTTTAACCCAACTTGTTTCATCGGATGTATTGGGAACAACTGGGCGCCGAAGATAAGCATTTCTTTTCTTGTGTTATTTTTTATGAGGAAGTAAACTAATTCTCTGGCTTTTCAGCGAGAATATACGCATGGGTGACAAATAAAAGGAAAAAAATAGAACCCTTGACCCTTAGAGTGAGGGGATCTGGTGGCTCTGTTATGCTGTGGGGGGCAGTTTGCTGGCGTGATTTGAGCCTACTTCAAGGTTCTAAGTTATTCCTGAGCGATCACCTTTATCTTTTGATGGAACTTTCCTATCCTGATGGAGGTGGACTCTTCCAGAAGGACTATGCCCCCATTCATAGCATGTGAGCTGCGGCCTTCATGGTTATCAGATCCCAAACCAGGAGACTACCATCATCAGTACGCCAAATGAGGAAACACCCTGCGAGATAATGGTGTTCAATCCCTGCAATAAAATACAGATCATCGGAAGAATTCTGATTTATTTTGTTTGTTCAGGGCTGATATGCTGGGTTGTGTTTTTTTAATGAGACTTACTTTGGTGAGATATATAAAAGATTTCTATGCACTGAGACAGTGGGCAATGTGTGCAGCTGTACATTATGATTTGTCATATAGCCATCCAGGTTGAAGTGCCTTCTAAGTCCATATAGGCCGGGTGCCAGAAAAGTGCAGGACTCTCAAATAAACAATCGATCAATCAATGCAGAATGAATGCCAAGGGTTATTGAAGCTGTTCTGGAGGCACTTGGTGGTGACACATTGTTGTTTTTTCTTTGTCCTATAGTTTGTCACCTGTCTGTTCTGTAAGCACAACTGATTGTTAGTCACACTGTAGGCATTAATCACAGTGTTGACTTTTTTTTCATTAGGAATAATGGATCAGCAACGGGTCACGCTGGTAGTGTATACCATTAATCTTCTCTGAATGCATGCAAAAATATTTTTGACTTTGCCTAATAGCATATGCAAATGAATTGGCCTACTTGTTATATAGAAATAGTTCTCAGAAAAATAACTCTCAGCTTTCAGGAAAGTTTGGAGAGTGCTCAACAATGTGTCGACGAGTTGCATTTAATGTGATGCAGTAGAAAGCTGTCCACCTGGCATGTTGGAAACATAAAGTCCAACATAATAGCGAAAAGCGTCGGGACTGACACGATTACACTCTCGCGCCGTGCGATACAGGCAACAGTGTCGCAAATGCACAAAGTAACATGGCTGCTGCATCTGCCCTCGTCGCTTGTAACAGATACGAACATAATTGGTATGCAGTGTACACAACGTGTGGGTGGCTGTTGGTGAGTTCATTTGTGTACATGTCACTGGTGTGTACACAACTTTCCAAGTGTTCATCTCATTGTTGTTTTAGTTGTGTTTTCTGAGTTCTCCGCCTTCGACTGACATTGATATGCAGTGTTGCCAAAAAAAAAAGAAAAACACCTTCCAATTCATCAAGGAAGTAGTGAGGAGGGCCACCTGTGCAGCCAGAACAGCTTTAATCCATCCCAAAATGGTAAAGATTAAAATATGTTCAGACCTGGAAGGTGTCCATCATGTTTGAGAAACCAACATTACACTTAATCTGCAGTTTAGGGGAGTGTAATCGTCCTGAAAAATGGAGACAGCATGAGGGGCCGGTGTTTGTACCACAGGGTGCATCTGGGTCTGTAAAATACAGCTACACTGTTAGTTTTGGCTGTTATATATCTGCATAGAGATATGAGCAAACCTCATCCATAGCTGTACCACACATTTGATCTACATTTTTCAGGTTATGTGTTGCAGGAAAGTACTGGAGCCAGGATGGTGCAGATTCAGTTCCATAGTAATGTAAAATACTCCGTTAGGGGTCCATTTGTTACCTGGTTTCCTTTTAGTTGATGCACTTAGTTCATATCAAACAAGCTGTTGTGATGCACCTGCAGTTTGGAAACTGCTGTTTGATCTCAGTTGGTTCTGTTCAATCCCTGCAAACTCCAAATAGACATGAAAAATCAGCCTTACTTCAAACAATAATGTGCTGTTATTTATTTAATTCACTTAAAAAAATATTGTAATTGTGCAAAAGTTAAGTCGGTTTTTCCTCAGACACCACAGCTTGCAAACATTTGTGTTGCCAAATAAGAGTCTTTCTATTTTTGAATTAGGAATTTTTCTCCTGCTGTTCCCTGCAGATAGTTTGTGATATTTTAAGATCTACCCACTGATTTTCAATGATGTTCAGCTCAGGGGACTGTGAGGGTCATTCTAGGAGCTTCAGCTTGTGTTTCTTCAAGTAGCGCTTGGTGGATTTTTGTCCAGTCTCTATTCTTCCTTCTATCCGTACAGTGTTTCGTATGCCACTAAAGCAGAATATTTTTTGCCAGTTGGCAGTGTGTCGTTCTCATCAAATGCCACTCCTTTTATCTCCAAACATACCGTTGGTGATTGTGGCCGTAGAGCTCGATTTTAGCTTCATCTGTCCACAGTACTTGTATCCAAAACAAGTCTGGCTTATCCAGATGCTGCTTTGCAGACTTCAGACACTGACTTTGAGATGAGGTTGCAGGTATGGTTTCCGTCTGATAACTCTTCCAGTGTGGACCCTGTTTGTGCTTCAAGGCTGCACAGAGGAACAGTGCACCACCACTCCTGTGTCAGCTAAACCTCCCCGCTGGTCCTTTGAGGTTTTTTCGCTTTGCCTTTTTCTGCACAGCAAACATGCGGTTTTAATTGAAACTTCTCCTGGTTTTTAGATGTTGTCTTGACTTCTACTGTTCCCCTCAACTGTCATGTCTTAATGACATTTCAGACAGTGGAAAGTGGAAGCTCGAAGCGCTTTGGTATCTTTTTATAGCCCTTCGGTGCTTTGAAGGCATCATTGTGCAACATTTTTAGATCCTCAGTCAGTGGTACAGTGGAACCTATGGTAGTTGAGTGTTACTGTAAAGTTTGTGCAGTCAGAGAATCAGATCTGTTATCTTCAGCTATCATTCTTAATGATGCTTAAGGCTGTACAAGTTTTAAAGATCTGAGACGTTACAAGTAGAAAACTGCCCTTTTGCATGCAGCGCAGTTAAATTTTTTAGAAAATTTTAAGCTCATAAATTAGTATAACAACAGTGCATAAGGCTGTAAGCACAGTTTTATTGTTCCTTTGTATCTAAAACCATTTTAAATAAGTCTGTATTTAAAACTGAAGCCTTTTTAAAAAAAATTTGACCAAAATATCTCATACTGTGTCTCATATCTTTGATTTTCTTCCTCCATGTTCCTCAAAATGAACCCGTTCCCTGTAACTGATATATTTTGTTAAAAAATAAACATTTTTCTTCATTTTCTTCTTGATATTGTGTACAAAAGAAAGACTGACATTTTTTTTCTTATTTAATAGCTTCTGATTCCAGAGTCGCAGTAATAAACTGTGCCCTTTACCTGCCGATTCAATACCCAGTGTGGCCTACGAGTCCTATTTGCTGTTTTTATATAGTTTGGAGACAAAATGCCTCATGATTAGAAAGCTATGATGAAAGAGCTGTGAAACTATGGCCACAAAGTCAGCTCCCATTTTTTCTTTTTTTTCTTTTTGACCAAGTTCAAACTGCAGAGAAGCCTTAAAGACATAAAGCCTTCATTTCTTAGTTGATTCATTCAATCTTTTTTTTTCAGACCAGTTGATACAATCTGATAGAATAGTCTGCTCTAAATACTGAGCTGTGGAGCTGCTCTCCAGCTGTTGCTTATCCCAAGGTAATAAAAATGGGACAAATCAACCCGTAATCCCTCCTCAGTCCCTCCATTGTTCTTGGAATGATGCTAGGCTAAAAGATGGAACCTTCTTAGTATTCTGAGTAACACCAGCATCTGCTGAATTCTCCTCTGTGCTGTGTTTTGTCGGGCGTTCTGTCAGAGTTTATGGGCAGCTCCAGTCAGATTAGCGATAGAGCATATTTGTATATGAATTTTTGACACCTGATCCATGTGGCTTTGTCATAGGAATGAGGAGAGAGATTTGTTGGCAGTTTGCATAACAAAACCATTGTTTCCTCAATATTTTTTCCACAGGTTTTTCTAGCAGCGGCGCTCAGTAATTACAATTTGACATGGTTTGTTTTTTAAGGGATTTCAGTCACATATTGAATTTAGGTGTGAAGGGCTTCATTATTACAGTGACGTTATAATTGTGTCACTTCATTTAAATTTTGTTAACTTCTCCTATTATGTTGCCATGACATCCCTTTTCAGCACCCAAGTAATCATAAGAAATAAAATCAAATAGCAGTTGTTTTTTTTGTTTTTTTAATCCAAAATACGCTTTCCCCTGACAATGTGATAATTGCGACATTGTGCTGCTTCGCTTTTTAAGCAAATGTAAACTGAAGAGGTTCTTTAAAGCTAGCAAATTAGGCTCTGCAAATTAGGAGAATATCTTTTGAGCACATAATCATGAACATTTGAAAGTGTTCTAGTTTTTTTTTTTCTTTTGTCTTAGTTGTTATGTGGAAAAGGTGTGTCATCCATTCAGCACCTGATTATTCTTTGTTCACAGCAGGAATCACCATTGTTAATCATGTGAGATCATCACCAGGCTCATTTTTATGGAAGAGCATGTTCGGTGCACTGAAAATAGAAGCATTACAGGATGATATTAGTCCTGAACTCTTCAGCTGACTTCAGTTTATAAGCTTTTTAGTATCTCTGTATATACAATGAGTCTTTATGATGCAGAAAATGCCCCTTAACTTGCGCTATAAATGGATTTTAATCTGTGGCTCCTGTAGACGTTTTAAGATGATTCTCTTGAATTACTTCTACACTTAGATTTTTTTATCCTTCCTTGCGGTCCATGAAAAATGTGTTTGTCCTCATGATTTTCTCTTTTTTCTCTTTGCAGGTTTCCCTGATTTTCCAGGGAGTTCTCCCCCTTTGTAGTGATGGAGGTATTGCAGTGTGATGGCTGTGACTTCCGTGCCGAGTCATATGATGACTTGAAGACCCACATACAGGAAGTACACACTGTTTTCCTGCAGCCTGCAGATGCAGATGAGTCTGATTCTCTGAAAGACGAGGAGGAAGATGAGGAGGAAGAAGAGGAATTGCAGGATAAGGAGGACAAGGATTTTTCGCCTACTAAAGCTGGAATGAGTATGCCTACCACCTTCCTTCTTTGCCTGTTTTAAATAACTCTTCACAGTAGGATGATCCATGTGATGCGTTTTATTGAGTAGCATAAAAATATTTTGTGTTGTGCCTGATTTTATCAACAGAAACAATTCTAACAGCAAAATGTTGATGTTTTTCATATATTCCAGAACATCTCACGTCATGTTTTTTGTTTTTTTTTCTTTTCTTTGCAGGCCCCAACTCTACTGACAGTCCCAACCAAACATCACAAAAGCAGACGACTGAAACCCATCTGCCGTTTTACCAGTGCAAGTTCTGTGTCCGTTACTTCAGATCAAAGTCATTCTTAAAAAACCACACCAAAAAAGTGCATAATGTCATAGAGGATGATTCAGATACAAGCATCTCCTCACAGACAGCTAAGCAGCCCAGCTACACTGTTATAATGCACAATGACAATTCAAAAGTGTATTCCTGTCAGTATTGCACATACAAGTCTCCACGCAAAGCAAGGATAGTGAAACACCAACTCATGTATCATAACAAAGTTCCCTCAGATAGCGCTGAAGATCCTCCACCGTACGTCGATACTGGGGAGGAATCTGACTCGGCTAGGGGACTCATGAAGGGAACATTTGCCTGTGAATGGTGTGACTATCAGACTGACCAGAAGGACAGCTGGACTGATCACGTGGTGAAGGAACACAGTGACAAGGTCAAGATAGTTTCCTGCATTGCAGAGCTGGAAGGGGAGGCAAGTGCAAGCTCACCCAAACCAGATTCTCCCTCCTCCTCCTCCCATAGCCCAGCTAGATCAAAGGCGAGTTTTGTTGAGGGTTGTGGGAAGGAGGAGTCGGTTGGAAAAACACCAGAAAACACCTTGGAAAAGTCCGCTGCAGAGATCTCCTCCTTCCAGTATGCACAGATGAGTGCAGTAACACCCAACAGCACGGGTTCCTCCATTTTGTCTAAGAGGTTTGCATCATCTGACGTCCCCAACAGTGTCATACAGATGGATGCGAACTTACTCAATGAGGACGACTCAAGGAGCACCTTAGAGGATGACGACGATGAAGAGTTGGGCGACATAGATGATCCCAGCTATACCGGAACCCTGTCTGCAGATGCAAAGCAGTTATTGACGGATGAGGATAATAAATTACTGGAGACTAAAGGGATACCTTTTAGAAAATACATGAACCGGTTTCAGTGCCCCTTCTGCTCCTTCCTCACCATGCACAGGCGGAGTATCTCCCGCCACATTGAAAACATTCACCTTTCCGGCAAAACCACAGTGTATAAATGTGATGAATGTCCGTTTATTTGCACCAGCCCTCTGAAACTAGGCACGCACAAACAGAGCCACAACTCCTCAGATTTAGAGACCATGGACCTAACAAATGATAGTCCAGATCCTCAGAATGACGGTGTCGCAGAGCCAGTTAACGGGGGTAGTGTAAGTTCCAAAGTCAATGGGAAAAAGACAACCAGCACATCGAACGACCAGCAGAACCCTCATCGCTGCACGCTCTGCAGCTTCTCTACCACTACTCTGAAAGGTCTGAGGGTCCACCAGCAGCATAAGCATTCCTACTGTGATGACCTAGATCCCACTGTCTTTGAAGCCCAGCTGACTGACCAGCCAGATTCTGAAGTGGATGCCTCTCCAATCTTTCTACAAAAAACCCAGACCTCCATTTTAGGACTTACCTCCAAAAAGTCCTTAGTTACAGGGAAAAGAGCCAGGAAGTCCATCAATGACTTGCCTTTGGATTTGTCCTCAGTCAAAAAGAGGACTAGAATTGATGAAATTGCCAGTAACCTTCAAAGTAAGATAAGCCAAAGCCAACAGGACACCATCATAAATCTAGACGATATGGATGATGAAGACGCTGGAGAAAATCACGGCAGTGCTGACGAGGGTGGAAACCTCGACAACAAAAACCCTGTCTTTGCTTACACACAGCAGCTTCATGCGAGAGACTCACTGCTGTCTCATGATGTAGGCAGAATAGGGAAAAGAAAAAGCAACCCCAAGTCAAAGCCCAGAAGCATTCCTATATCACTGACTCTCTCTGACGACAGTGAAAACATCTCTGCTGATCCCAATGACGGTGTAGTCCAAGAGAGCATGGACTATTCAGAGGACCCTGGAACCACACGTTTCTACTGTAAACACTGTGATTACCACAACAAGTCAGCCCGTAGCGTCAGCACCCATTACCAGAGGATGCACCCTTACATCAAGTTCAGCTTTAAGTACATCCTGGACCCTGAAGACCAGAGTGCAGTCTTCCGCTGCTTAGAGTGTTATATTGAATACACAAATTACAATGATCTGCATCAACACTACATGGATCACCACCCTGAAGCAAGCAACGTGCTCAACTTCAACCAGCCGCATCTGTTGTACATGTGTCGCTTCTGTTCGTATACAAGCCCTAATGTGAGGAGCCTAATGCCCCATTACCAAAGAATGCATCCCACGGTGAAAATCAACAACGCCATGATTTTCTCAAGCTATATTGTTGAGCAGACCCACAAATCTGGTGAATCGCAAACTCTGAGGGAAATATTAAACTCTGGTCCCAAGAATTTTAACTCGGCTGCTTCGATGCCCAGGTCCTCCTCAAGCCCTGTCCTGAAAACTGTTTCCAAGTCCCCTGAAGCTAGCGCCGAGGCAGAACCTCTCAAAGAAGCTATGGGTGGTAACGTCGTTGTCTATGATTGTGATGTATGCTCCTTTGCTAGCCCGAACATGCACTCTGTTTTGGTCCATTACCAGAAGAAACACCCAGAGCAGAAGGCGTCTTACTTCCGTATTCAGAAAACCATGAAGGTCATCTCCGTAGATCAGTCGCAGCCTGCGGCCAACTCTTCATTCAGCCCCAGCATGTCTTCGACGCCAAAACAACACAGTGCAGCACTGTATGGATCAGATGACGAAATGTACTACTGTAAACATTGCGTGTACAGCAACAGATCCGTTGTTGGTGTGTTGGTCCATTATCAGAAACGACACCCAGAAGTGAAAGTGACGGCGAAATATATCAAACATGGTGCTCCTACCCCTGGTTTGATGAAATTAATGGATGAATTGCAAATCGCGACTCCCAAACAGTTTTTGAAGCAGTTTCAAAATAATGGTCACGACGGATCTAATAACTCGAGTCCTAAACCAGGAAGTGGTGAGAAAGGCGAGGATGAGCTGTTCTTTTGTCAGCACTGTGATTACGGCAACCGTACTGTAAAAGGAGTGCTTATTCACTACCAGAAGAAGCACCGTGAAACCAAGGCCAACGCTGACCTTGTACGTCGTCACACTGCAGTTGTCCGGAGTCAGCGTGAGCGTGCACAGATGGTTCAGTCAGGTAGCGTCTCTTCTGCCATGATACCAGCACCTCCAGACAATGAAAACGCAACACCTTTGCGTTCCCTTAAGTGCAGACACTGTTCCTACACATCCCCTTATGTCTATGCCCTAAAGAAACACCTGAAGAAAGAGCATCCCACTGTGAAAGCCACAGCCATGGCCATTTTACACTGGGCTTACCAGGATGGCATTCTGGAGGCTGGCTACCACTGCGAGTGGTGCATATATTCCCATGCTGAACCCCAGGGCTTGTTGCTCCATTACCAAAGACGTCACCCTGAACATAATGTTGATTACACATACATGGCCAGTAAGCTATGGGCTGGACCTGAAACCACCCAACATGGGGGCAATATGGAAACAAAACATTACAAATGTAGAGACTGTGCCTTTGAGGCCTGTTCAATATGGGACATCACCAGTCACTATCAGGCAGTCCACCCCTGGGCGATCAAAGGGGATGAATCTGTGCTTTTGGATATCATCAAAGGGAACGGCTCAGCTGAAAAGCTCCACCAGCAGGTTGCCAGTGAACATGTGGTTCTGAATTGTCAATCTGTTGAAGATGATGGAACACTGATCATTGCCACACCACCCCAAGAAAGCAATCCCCATCCTTCCCACCCACGCCTTTCCATCTGTAGTAATTCTTATCAGTGTACTGTATGTCTGTCCGAGTACAACAGTCTCCACGGCCTCCTCACTCACTATGGAAAGAAGCACCCAGGCATGAAAGTAAAAGCTGCAGATTTTGCACAAGAGGCAGACATCAACCCCAGTTCTGTGTATAAATGTCGTCACTGTCCGTACGTAAACTCCCGCATTCACGGAGTCCTAACTCACTATCAGAAAAGGCACCCACTGGTGAAAGTCACAGCAGAGGACTTTGCAGACGATATAGAGCAAATCTCCGAGTTACACGAAGGAGATGACAAGTTCAAAACTCAAAGACAGGGCTATGGCGCATACAGATGCAAAATGTGCCCGTACACACACGGAACTCTGGAGAAGCTGAAAATCCATTATGAGAAATATCACAATCAGTCTGCTTCTGATATGTTCACTCCCTCGCTTACAATTTTTTCTTCCGGTAAAGATACAGAGCCAGTAGCCGAATGCAGTGCCAGTAATATATCAAGCACAGCAAAACTCCAAGAGGTCAGCGAATTGGACCTTGCCCTCTCTCAGTTACCCATCAATAAGACAGAGAAACATGCTGTATTCAAGTGTCAGCTCTGCAAATACTTTTGCTCCACGAGGAAAGGCATCGCTCGCCACTACCGCATCAAGCACAACAATGTCCGTGCTCAGCCAGAGGGTAAAAACAATGTCTTCAAATGTGCTCTATGTTCATACACTAACCCTATTCGCAAAGGTCTGGCAGCACACTACCAGAAGCGTCACGATATCGACGCATATTATACCCATTGTCTGGCTGCTTCCAAGACTATGACTGAAAAGCCAACCAAAGTGATGGCTCCTCCGCCGTCAGAAGGGGACAGTTCAGAAATGAGTGAAGACTTGCGTTTGGCTGTGGAGAGACGAAGGTGTTCTCTTTGCGCCTTCCAGGCCTTCAGCAGGAAGAGCATTGTTTCACACTACATTAAACGCCACCCAGGTGTCTTCCCCAAGAAGCAACATTCTAGCAAGCTTGGTCGGTATTTTACTGTTATATATGCCAAAGAACCCGAGGAAACTGCTGTCAGTGCATTGGCAGAGGAAGACAAGGAAGTGCTGGAGGTTCCACTTGAACCCGAGCAGGACAGCGAGGTTGAATGGCTGCCATTCAAGTGTCTAAAATGCTTCCGGTTGTCCTTTAGCACAGGAGAGCTGCTCTCTATGCACTACAACGACCACCACAGCAATGACTTAAAGAGGGACTTTGTGGTATCGCCTGATCCTGGGGAGGAGGACTCTGAGTTGTACCAGTGTTCTCACTGTGAACTGAAGTTCCTTGGTCTCCCTATTCTGGCCAAACATCTGCTGAATCACAATGAGGAGTTTCAGAAGAGGGCCATGAGGCAGGAGAGAAGGAGGCAGCTTCTCAGCAAGCAGAGAGCAACAGACCTGCCTGAGACTAAACCCGAGAAGGTGAGCAAAGACCGTCTCCCTGAAAACATGAAAAACTAAAACTGTCAAAATAGAGAATCTCCTTGTGCAATTAATGTCGATTAGAACACGCTGTATCTGATGCCATTGTCACAACCCACTGCTATCTGCGATTCTGCAGGTGTTCTTTGACTTCTGGAGGTTGCAGGTTTCCATGGTTTTTAAAAACAAATGTGTGGGAAGCAGCTGAGCCTAACATGATTTTATAAGCCCACGTTCATGGATGTCATACCTATAGTAGTAATATCCTGCTAAAACTGAAGGGAGGAGACAATTAAAGAGAGATAATTATGTATTTCAATTTGCCCCTTCACTGTCTGTATGTATGTAATAGTGCACGATAATGAGATATGATAATTAGTTTCATAATAAGTTCATTAAAAATACCTTTGATCTAATTTGATGCATATTAGGGAAGAGTGACAGACTGTGCCTTCTAGGAGAAAAGAAAAGATTATCATGCTTTTCTGACTATGGCAAATACATCAGCTGGTGTTGACTAATAATAGGCATTAGTGACGCTAGTCAAATAAATTACATCATTAGTCCTTTAAGTGTTAAAACACATTTACAAATTGTGTCTTTAATAATAAACCTTTTTTTTTCAAGATGGGGGAAAAAACCTCTGTGTAAAACCAGATGTATTTCTTTTTTTGTCATCAGGAAAGCCCTGTAAATAGAACTCCGATAGGATTCAGGTGTAAGTTCTGTATAGAGATCCACCCGACGCTCCGAGCAATCTGCAACCACCTGAGGAAGCACGTCCAGTACGGAGAGGTCAAAGAGGGACATGTCAAGGTAAGTGAAGTTGGATTTAACATTGAAATTTCTTTGATGCTGCTGCAGTATTTGTCTTATGTCATCTGGGGACCGTTCTTGTTCATTATCCATTTCAATTTTTAAAAATAATTAATTATTGTCAATACTAATGATGTAAATATAAATTCATTAGAACCGGGATCTTTCTATGTGGAGTTTACATGTTCTCCCCGTGCAGCGTGGGTTCTCTCCGGGTTCTCCTGCTTCCTCCCACACAGTCCAAAAACATCCATCCATCCATTATCTATACACCTCTTAATCCTCATTAGGATCATGGGGGGCTGGAGTCTATCCCAGCTGACTCAGGGTGAAGGCAGGGGACACCCTGGACAGGTCAGTCTATCACAGGGCTACACTTAGAGACAGACAACCAAGCACCTACGGACAATTTAGAATCATCAATTAACCTCAACATGTTTTTGGACTGTGTGGGAGGAAGCTGGAGAACCCACGCTGCACGGGGAGAACATGCAAACGCCATGCAGAAAGACTCTGGTGCCCCCACCAGGATGCGAACTGGCGACCTTCTTGCTGCGAGGCAACAATGCGAACCAACTGCACCACCTTGCAGCCCGTCCAAAAACATGTTGAGGTTAATTGGTGATTCTAAATTGTCTGTAGGTGTGAATGTGAGTGTGCTTGGTTGTCTGTCTCTCAGTGTAGCCCTGTGATAGACTGGTGACCTGTCCAGGGTGTCCCCTGCCTTCACCATAAGTCAGCTGGGATAGACTCCAGCCCCCCATGACCCTAGTGAGGATGAAGCAGCGTATAGATGATGGATGGATGGATAAATTCATTATTCTTCATATGCGTCTTTTTTTTCCACATTTGTTTTCTGCATGATATAATTTCATTTGTTTAAAAACCGTATTACAGGAATAGTTTGACAGTTAGATGATTGGTATAGCTCTTATGTCTGTCCGTTAAACATATAGCTAACTGTTAGTTAGCTTAGCATAGCATAAAAACTGTGGAAAATTAGGGTGCTTTAGTGGTGCTAGTGAGCTAACCTGCTATTAGCTGTAGCTTCCCATTCATCATTATGAAGCTTTTTCACAAAATGTCAAACTATTCCTTTGACAAATCACGCGCCGCCAAAGTCAGCGCTCGAGCAAATCTACAGTACGTATTATTTATTCCTGTTGTGCCAAAGGGATATCCTCTTTAACAATATTTCAGAGGCACACTGTTTCTGTCCCTTGTGTTTCTGTCTTGTTTTCCAACTCCCATCCTCGTAGCACTGCAGTGATCTGTTTTACTGGACTCGGGTTCTGCTTCCCATTTTGTTTATTACTGACGGAGGCTTCTGGGTAGACAGTCTGTCAGCTTCCCCCAGAGAAAACAAGCAATGCTGTCCCATTGCTGTGGAGGAGGAGGAGGGGGGGAGGTTGGAGTGGTGAGCCATAACTTTTAGGGCAGCGGCGGGTAACCATTCGAACATTAGTATTCCACTGAGGCTGCCAGTGAGGGGAACAGGCCTGAGGATCCAGCGCCTCACCCAAACGCAGGCCTGGTTCTTCCATCAGTAACTCGGTCTGTCTTTATGTATCTAAGCTGAGATGGTTTGGGGCCTCTGAGAGTGACACACTGAAAATGTATTTGTTTTCTTTATAGGGAATTCAAAAAGGCAGTATTTTTGTCGCGACTTTGGCTTTTAGGTTTATTCAAGGTAACTCTCCGTGCCTGGTTTGAGGGTTACCTGCTTACAGCACATCTGCTGTGACCTTGTACAACATCTCTACTAGATGGAATGAACTGTGCGTTTCACAGGCTAAAGAGCAAATATTGCTGTTTTTAGTATCACAAATGCATTTTTGAATTCAAGAACCGCTTCTCAAATAGGTGGATGAAGAAGAGGCTGACAGTGCATTCAGGGACTGCATGGCAAGGTTGGGTCTGTGGATGCCACATCTTATTTATGGCTGCATGAAGTGCAGGGTCAGGTCCATCCACAGAAAGAATGAGTTTCCTCAAGGCAATAAAAAAGTCACGGTGATTGTCTGTCCGCTTGTGATGACTGCAGTAACCAGGCTGCACTCTCACAGATGAGGGCAAGTAGAAAGAGAAGTTTTGCTTCGCCGTTGGTTTGAGGGATAGTTGTCGGATGTGCAACGTTGCAGGTTCCTTTTGTTTTCACTCAGCAGAGATGCATATTGTTTGGTGTAATGATAGCGCTCGGTGAATGGTGTGATTGACTTTGTGAAGAACAATTCAACGGCGTTTATCCTCAGTCTTATTTAATGGGACAATTTGCGGGTTGGGGATGATAAGTAAGCGCTGGGATTGAATTTTGCTATCACTTTCCACTTGCATAGTGCAATCAAGTCGGGGTTAGAGTTGATGTAAGGTTGCTGCCAATGAAACAGAGAGAGAGGAAGAGAAACACAGAGTTCGAGGCGCACCATGAGACAGAGCTGTAACTAAAACTCAACTGATATTGCGCTCATACAGAATAGACAGAACCAGGGGTATTAGACAGATGCTTAACTGTTGCTTATGCGCTGTTAACATGATGCGTCTAATCTTGTATAAAGGGCTCCAGGTACCAGACTCTAAGTGATATTTAAATGAACAGCTACCATTCTCTTTTAATTCCAGTGGTCTGTATCCATATAACAAAACGCTTTAAAAGACAAAACCAAGGGGCAGAGAAAGGTTTCATCTGAGACTTATCTTCTTTATTTTGCAGCAGGAGGTCAATGAGGTGCCCCTGACCCTGCCCTCAGAGAGCCTAACTAATGGCGACCTGGAGGGCGATGAAGCGGCAGAAACCGACTGCCTTGAGAGACCTGCAGTCACGGTGATGGGCCCACCCTTCTCCACAGCTTCAGATGATGTTGCTGTTGCCGTGGAGACCCTGGATCCAGAAGTGGATGTCGTTGCAGGAAGGGCAGCGGCCCTCGTGGCTGCAGCCCGGGCCGTGGTGTCCGAGAGCCAGCTGAAGCAGCGGTTAGCAGCCGGGGGTCACCCTTGTGCCCAGTGCGACCGAGTCTTCATGTCCATGCAGGGACTGAGGTCCCATGAGAGGAGCCACTCAGCCATGGCACTGTTCAGCAGAGAGGACAAATACAGCTGCCAGTACTGCCAGTTTGTCTCACCCTTCAGGCACAAGTAAGTGCATTGTAAAAAATAAATTCATAATAAATGACTTAATGTCATTTATGATTGCTGGCAGCACCGACTGCCAGAATAAAACCCTAAAATTAAACTACAATATCGTAATTCAAAAGTACAAAAACAATACATTTACAGACATTTTCTTGATGTGTGTTTTTGGAAGAAACTCTTTAACAGATTTTTCCTGAATTATTACAATCAAACACCCTCAATATACTGAAAAAGTTCTGCCATAAACAGTTTTATTCTATAGATTTGGCCTAATTTATTAAGATCAATAAAGATTAAAATACATACAAATTGTCTTATTTTGGAATATAGGAAAGATAATACACACTACTATTGATTAAAAAAATAATTTATTGTTTCATTTATTCAGATGAGAATTTCTAATAAACAAATTATTCACAAAGAATTCTGCATAATTGAGAAGCTTAAAATGGTCTTTCTATGTGAACTGCATTACAAAGTAGAGACCAACACCAGAGTTTATCAAAATAAAAAAGTATTTCAAATAAATTATAAGTACCATAAGCAAATGTCTATTGAATTACAAGCAGCCATCAGAGTGTGGTGCAACACCAGACAATGTTCTCTTGTGTGGATGAAGCGCACAAAGGAGCACAACATGCCTAAAAGATTTAACCTTGAGAGCCGTGCATCTTTGTACTCTTTAGAAAAAGTACAAATAAATATTAAACTGATATGATTTACCTCGAAATTAAGAGGAAGATGTTAATTTTTAGTTAATAGTATGGGCATAAACCTTTATATTAAGAGCTACATATTTAATCACAGACAATTATTGTGGTTTTACAGAAAGAAAGCAGAAAAATACTGTGTAAATAATATTGTTCATTAAAAGAAAATAAAAAAAAATACAAATTTGGCATTTTTGGAATAACATTTAATTGGGCTGTTCATTTACAAATAATGTCTGTACCTTATGAGTTTTTTATATAATTGAAAAAACAGAAAACTATTGTGAAATCTTTATTTTCCCTAAAATTCCATTTTTTTCAAAGTGTTGGGAGGAGCAGGTTTAATAACTGAGACCAGCTTCTACAGTAGAGTCCCCTGTGTATCGTGTGGCATTTTATACGGACTAGATTAGATAAACTGGACCACTTAGCCCAACATAAACACATACTTACCTGAATTATATCTATTTGTTGACACCCCTGTTAACATTGATCTACGGTGACTGTCCAGTTCCTGTCACTTTTGCTTCTCTGGAAGGTTAGATCAAGATGTGATCCTTAAAATCCACCTCCACTCTGCCTAATATGTTTTATTTATTTGTTGCTCCACTGTGTTGTTCCTTGTGTTGTTAATGTATTATTTAAAAAGCAGAGTAATTTTAAATGTCTTAATGTTTGACAGGAAGAGATCTTCAAGATTTTGCTCCTTTTTGATGAATAGATTTCACCTGAAACTCTTTATCTAACTTCTCACTGCTTCTCTTCTCCTGTGTGAATATTACAAGCAAGAAGAAAATTTGGCTATAACTGTATTTGTAGATGCAGCGTTGATGAACTGCGGCCATCGCTAACCTCCGTGACAAACACATTGTGCTCTTTGCGGTTTTTAATGCCCCCAATGTTAAGCAGCATCACTGGGAAACATTTGCATTCCCAGCAAACAGTGAGTCTGATAATAATGAGGAAGTACTCCAGTTTAAACCAGCATAACGGTGTGAACCCATCACAATATGTGCAATGTGTGTCCCTGGTAGCAGCGCCGAACCAGTCTTACACCAGCTGCTCTTCAAATCAACTGGATGTTAGACTCATTTTGTACAGAGCGCAGTTTTACACCTTATTCTGTTTACCCTATCACAATCCCTTTGAATCTTCAATCTTCTCTAAGATTTCCTGCCTCCTAGGAGAGTAAGACAAACATTACAGCGAGACAGACATTTTGGTAGTGTGATTTGTTTTATCCATCACAGAGACACAGACTGAGAGGGGAAAGAGAGAGTCCTCATCTCCTCTGAGCTCCCAGGTGTAATCCCTCTGTACTGTATGTGCCCTGACCCAGAAAGAAGCCTCATTCCCATGCCACCTAGGAGGCTGGCATTAAAAACACAGCTACCGTCCCCACAGGCACTCACACACTCATTCCCACCAGGGGATTATGGGTAGATGAGTTCACCCCACGGCTCCTTGTTCTGTAGTCATTGGAAATGTGTGGCTGTTGTTTGCGCGGTAAACAGAATCGAGCGCTTTAGATGCTGCCGAAAAACCCTGCTGTTGAAATCATCAAAGTGGATGCTGTAGAGTAGAGCTCTCTCGCCTGCTTTCCTGTACTCTATTCTTGTCACTTTCTCTCTTTATCTGCTATCCTTTTGTCCTCATTTCATCCATTTTTTTGTCTTTTTTTTTTTTTTTATCCTCTTATCTCATATCCTCTCCTCTGTGTGTTCATATATTTTGTCTCATCGCCAGTCTGGACAGACATGTGCAGTCTCACCACGGGCACCACAAGCCCTTCAAGTGCAAGCTCTGCCCCTTTAAATCTGCCTACGTGAGCCGCTTGAAGAGCCACCTGCATAAGGCACACACAGGTAAAAAAACAGACGCACACATACATTAAGTCACCTCACAGCTGTATCTATGACTAACAAGGTATTCCCAGGCCCCAGCAGCAACCTCCTGTTTATCGCCTTCCACATGGAGATGCTTGATTTTTTAGCTTATCCAGTTTCAAATGCAACCAGTGGATTTGCTTGAGGAGTAGCTTTTGCCATTCGCCGACTTCATTAGACGCATCTAATTAAGCAAAGGAATCTAATTTGAATTCAGATTCCAACATGTGTAGCCCAAATGGATTCATCGTTAATATATGTTTATTTAGAAAGTGGTGAGAAGCCCTGCGACAAAGGAGGAGGCAAAGCGACGTGATGAGCTTCTCCGCCTGTGATCATTATTGTTATTGTGGGAGCCAGACGGCAGACAGCGATCCGAATACATGTAAATGCAAATGCAAAAAAGCTCCACCTGTGCAATCAATACACCAGCGACAGAAACAATCTTAAGTCTGGCAAGCTAGATGTTATTTTTTGCAGCTTTTAAATGCAAGAAACGGATAATCGACACAATTTTTTTTTAGCTGCGATTACATTTGGAAAAGTGGAGTTTGGTGAATTTGCAGGTTTTGTGAAAACAATCAGCATTAAATCTGCTTGTTGTGGTTCCATGCTTGCTGTAGAGCTACTTTGGACTCAGGAGCTGTCTTTTTCATAAGAAGTTATTCTGGCCAGAAATAGTTTAGTTTTGCCTATTAAACTGCTTCTGGTAAGACCACGTTACAGTCAGATCTGATTGGAATTTAATTGCTCCACTCCTCAGGATGCTGCCTGCATTAGGATGTTAAGCAAATACATTCAACAGAAACAGGAAGCGAGATGTTATAAATCCCCCGTGGCTACATTCAAAACACCAAACCCAAGTGTTTGGCTGAGGAACACGTAGTAGCAACAGCAGAATTAGTATAGTTAGCTGCTGTAAGGGTTTAAATCAATGATTAGATTGGTTAAAAATTCATATAATGGATTCTAATTTGTACATGAGAGCTAATTATATCCTTTGAGTATTATTTGACGTATTGCCCCTTATGCACGGCCCACCAACCTGCATGAAAGTCGCTCCCTCTTCTTTAATAAGCTGAGTATTATTTAGCTGACTGAAATAATACTAGTTGTAGCAGGGACGTACTGCCCTGGTGTTGCACTAATGGAAAATCAATTCTGCAACTTCTGAGTTCCTCAATGGACAATGTGGATCCCACTTGTATTATAATATCTCGGAATATTTCATAATATGAAAATCAAGCTCGGTATTTTTTCAGATTTTGTAAGCATAAGTGAGTTTAAGGTGGCATATTTGTTACAGAATGGCGCAGAGGGCTTTGTTAGTTTTAGTCATAACTGGCTACAATCATGTATAGGTCTCTGCAAGCCCTCATCTCACATTCTTTCTGTATTTATACAAGTCTCATCATTCTTAATATTCCTCCAGGTGAGCAGCACACATACAGGTGCTTGTCGTGCCCCTTCTCCTCCATGACCATCAGCCAGCTGAAGGAGCACTCTCTGAGAGACCACGGCGAGGCCCTGACCCTTCCGAAACTCCGAGCTGCCACCCAGGCAGCGCATGCCGCCCTCAGGCCGTCACGACTGCCCAGTAACATTGAGCAGACGCCCATGGCCCCGGATGGTATGAGATCATCTCAAATAGTTTTTTTTAATAGATTTATATATATGACATGATAGACTCGCCAGGCCTGATTCGGAGCATCTTGATTAAGCTTTGAAGTCATGGTTTCATATTTCTGTAAATAACTTTTTCCTGTGGAGAGTTAATATGAGAAGATTGATGTCTGTAAGCTACAACCTAGCTTAGCTCGAGCAGAAAAGTTGTTTAATATTAACAAAAACGAATAAAAAGGGGATTTTTATTCGCATTATTTTTTCTTTTTTACCCAGGAGCAGCGACTTCTAAGAGTCTCTGCTGGTTTCTTGGCAACACACCCAGCAAAGAGACACTACTAGTTCTCAGTTTTTTATATGGACTGCACAAGCAAAATATAACATGTTCATCAGCAGACTTTAGAAGTGCTGGTATGCATGGTTCCACTTGTTATGCTAAGCTAAGCTAACTGGCTGCTTTTTTTTTTTTTTTTTACCAATTTACCAAACAAACTTGAGAGTCAATCTTCTTATCTAATTCTCCTCAAGACAGCAAACAAGCTTCATTTCCAAAAAATATCACACTATTCTTTTTAAGCAGAATCCATCATAAGCGATAATTCCTCTTCATTGATTCTTCGTTCCATAGCTTTGAGGCTGAAACCTTAAATTTATTTTATGTGGGTGCCGCTATAGCTCACCTGGTTGAGCTGGCGTTACATGGACAGGGCTGTAGTCCCGATGTGGAAGTCGTGAGTTCGAATCCCGCTCATGGCCCTTTCCTACATGTTCTTCGGTCTCTCTTTCACTACACAATTGAATAAAGGCACAAAGGCCAAAAAAAAACAAAAAACTGGCAGCTGTGGTTGCCAGAACTTCAAATTTAATTTATGTGTTTTTTAACAATACAAAAATAGACCAAGATTTCAATGACAAATATAAATATAAAATAGATGAATAAAAATATTCCCGTAAATATCAAAAATCTTTACAGGCTGCTAATTTGAACATCACTGCAAAATAGGTAAATCGCCCTATAACATGCCGTGTGTGCATACCGTAGCACTTGAAGTGATCTGGGAGGTGTAATTGGTTAAATAAAAAATCCTAAATCAAGAGTAAAAAGGTGCTTACAAGCTGTGAAATGAAAAACTAGCATGCAAATAACATTAGAAAAAAGACTTAATTAGAATGCTTTTTGCTGCAGGGTTTGTATTTACTTGTTTTTACTGCAAGCCTACGCTCTTTACTGGTGCCCAAACGTTTGCATATTACTGCAAATATTAAAAATTCTATTTAAAATCAAATAAATTAACACGAGGCAGGCCGTCAGATACAATTTAGGATCTGCTCAATTTGAAAGGTAGCTTTATTTTTGTGTTATTACTATAACCCAAATTAGATTTGCTATAAAATTCACATTTAGTGTCAGCATGTCTGTGTGATAGTCACAGTCTTAGAGAGAGGTTTTTGTGCATAGATTGAATAAATTATACTTTAATTTAGGATTTTGACTGTTTCAGATTCGACTGCCCCGACATTCAGAGTTATTTTGACACGTTTCTTTGCAGAATATGTTCAGTCAAAGAGGTGTCTTCACTGGAGGCTGGTGTAGCAGTAAACTCCTTGATGTGTTGCCATGTTTTAGGTGTTTTAGTGGCTTTGCAGCGGCTGCTTTAGCTTGCAGACTGTTCTTGGCAGCAGCTGTCACCTTGCTGCTGGAGCTGTGGAATCTTCCCTGGAGCTGAAGCAGGGCAGCATTCCTCAATGCACCATCCACCACTGTCAGCTGTGCCCTACCAAGACAAATGAAGCATTGAGAAAGAGCAGAGCTGACATATTGAATGTCTCTCTACTGTGCCAAACTAGCTACCTTCAGCTGAATGTTTGAAATTCAGACAGAGAGAGTTTGTGTTCTTGGCAGTGTGCTTTGAAAATATTACCATTTGATTACCTCTCATTAGCAGTGATGTTTACTTAGATTTCTTGAACATGATTTTTAATTCCTGCATCTGCACATTACTGGGAAAAAAATAGCTTCTTTAAAATCCAGCCTCTTTTTGACTTGATGCAAAATGGCATTACTGGTTTGTTGCTTTGGTCCAGATCATATATATCAACAACCACTGGATGGATTGCCAGGGAACGTTCTGCACACATTCTTTGTTCCCAGTGGATTAACCTTTAATGGCTTTAGTGGCATTACATATAGCACCACCAATAGGTCAAAATGTCATTTTGTGCAGGTTTATGTTCAAATACCTGCAAAACAAAGCCTCTATTTTTGTATTATAAAAGCTGTACTTACTCAAGTGCTAACATGCTAAACTAAGATAGTAAATATAATAAGCTGCTTCACTTCTGCATGTCAGCTTTGTCATTACGAGTGTTGTTATTTAGCTCAAAGCACCTCGGTGTCTTAAGCACAGCCGGCCTCACAGAGCTGCTGTTTTAAGGCGTCCTCCTCTCCTTCTTCAGACTCTCACAAGTATTCCACCTCGCATTTATCCAATGCAATAAACAATTCTGGCCCTTAACACATTTAAGAAGACGCATCACCATGCAACTTCAAAATCTGCTCTCGATCTGCTATCTCATCACCATACGTCTGCACAATGCAGAGAGGATATTAAAAGCATGAATCAACTGTGGCATTGTTTGATTCATATGAATTCCTCTGCCTCTTCTGCAAAAGTCAGAAATTGGATCTGGAGAATTTTATAAAGTAAAAGTTGAAAAAACTTTTTCCTTGCATGCTTCTTCGTACTCCGAGTGCTGAATGAAGCATTTTTCACATGGATAGATATTCTATTAGTGTCACTGTGGTTTATTTATTGATGTGTTGGAGGCTCAAAGTAGGACGAGAATATGAGCTTGCTCACTGATATTATAGACTCTTGAGAAAGGGAATGAGGAGGGAAAGAAGTAGGGGACAAATGATGACAGTCACAGCTACACTTCTGTATCCGTGGAGGCGGGGGGGGGAGGGGATGTTTGCCTCCTTTGTAGAAGCACAGATCCACTGCTGTCTGCTGATGGCCTTTTATTAAACGTTATGTATATTGCATGGACACTCATTTGAGACACCTGTACACCTGTTTATTCATGCATTTATCCAATCAGCCAACTGCCTGATAGCGGTGCAAAAACACAATCCTGCAGATGCATGCTTGGAGCTCCAGTCGGTGTTCTGTTTAGGAAAAAATGTGATCTAAGTGGCTTGTGACTATGGCGTGATGGTATAAGTATTTCTGAAACTGCTTAGATCACGATGAGGCAAAACATTTTTAAAAAGCATCCAGTGAGCTGCGGAAAGAAACGCCCCTGATGATACGAGAAGTCATGGACTGGTTGGGGAGGATGGAATAGCTACAGTAACTCAGATAACTACTACTTCACAACTATGGTGGGCAGAGAATGTCAGAATGCACAACACGTCGAACCTTTGAGGCAGATGGGCTACAACAGCAGAAGACAACGTCTGGTTCCGATTCTGCCAAACCAAGAACAGAAATCCGAGGCTGCAGTGGGCACAGACTTACCAAAACTAGGCAGTTGAGGACTGGAAAAACAGAGTCTTGTCTAATAAATCTCAATTCTGCTGAGGCTGCAGATGGTAGGGTCAGAATTTGGCATTGATAGCATGAATCCATCTACCCAACATGCCTTGTGTCAACAGTCTAGGCTGCTTCTGGTATTTTAATGGTGCAGAGAATGTTTTCTTGGCAAACTTTGGGCTCCTTGGTATTAATCAGTCATTGTTTGGATGTCACAGCTGATCTGAATATTGTTGCCGAACTTGTGCGTCCCTTTATGGCTTACAGTTTTTCCATTTTGGCTAATTCTAGCGCGTTAATACACAATGTCAGAAAACAAAAGTTGGCTCAGGACAGTTTCAATCATGCAGAATCCATGACATGAAGAATTGAAGATGTTTTGAAGACAAAGGAAGGCCCTTTCCGGGATTAGATATGGTGTTACCAATAAAGTCCTTGGTGAGCTTTTTATTTTTAAAGAAATAACCAAACGTGAAGCAGCATAGAGGAGGCAGATTAATCGATCTGGATCAAATATATAAAGTAGGTTGAACTTCATGCCGCTGTGCAAAGATTTCATCAGCTTGACAACGTCACTGTGCATTTGAGTCAGTGTTAGATGATTCCTGTGGGATTAAAAAATTAGCTCCTGAATCCTCTTGATGTTGTCAGAAAATAAATTATTGTAATTTAAGCAAACATGTTCCCTGAGAGAAATATTCTGGTGGCCTGTACACATATCTTGCACTAAGCTAAAATGTTATTTCTAGTACCCATTCGACTCCAGAAAAAATCCTGCATTCAAAATCGTCCTGCATTAATATATATATTATTAGATTGTACATACTGATGATCAGTGTGTGAGTTGTATTTGGGGTTGGACTCCCTCCAGGAGTTCATAAGATATATCAGAAATGGAAAATTAAGTTACAGCGACAAACAAAGCCCTGCGACAAAGCTGTTCTTTTTTCAAGACATGAATAGTTTATATGAAACCACTGGAGAAGTTCGGAGAGGAAAAGTCCTTTGTATGAATCTGGACATGACAAGGGCTCCCTAGAAGGCACATGCCAAAAAGTGCCAAGAAATGTTTTATATTTTAATCTTTTTTTTTCTTTAAAATGTTAACCTGTAGAATAACCGCTACCTACAGCTGTTAATAAACATAATAGAGTTCATTGATTGAATTTCCCTTCTGGGATAAATAAAGTATTTTTCATTTCATTTAATTTCATTCATTGTTACATAAAATGGAAAAAAACACCAGTGAAGGACAAGCAGATCTGATACATGATAATAAACGCTCTGAATTTCTCCTCCCCTCGTTTAGATCCATCGTACCTGGAGCCGGCTGACGTCCGCCAGCAGCTCAGTCATTACCAGCTGGCCTCCCGCAGTCAATTGTCTTCCAGCTCGACTCCTGGTGGCTTGATAGTGGCTGACGGTCGTCCAGAAAGTGTGCTCACCTGCGAGTTTTGCGAGTTCAGCTCTGGATACATGCAGAGTCTCCGCCGGCACTACAGGGACCGTCACGGTGGCAAGAAGCTCTTCAAGTGCAAAGACTGCTCCTTTTTCACCTGCTACAGGTAAGGAAAGACTTCACCTTAACAGACAGAATAGAAAACGACACTTTGCTGGATAATTTTACTGAGAATATAGATGCTGCAAATTTACAAACTCTGTTCATGTATTTATATGAGAGAAGACACATTGCAAGGAGGATTCTGTATGAGCACTGGGCTAACTTTGGTAGTCCAATGATTCATCTTTCTGCCTGTAAATCTCTCTCAGGAATACCTTCACCATGCATGTGGAGGCAGGTCACAACAACAATTCACCTGAGGATCTCCCTAAAGACCTGCGCTGCCCGCTCTGCCTCTACCACACCAAACACAAGAGCAATATGATCGACCACATTGTTCTCCACAGAGGTACAGCTAATGCTAACCAGTAAATTATGCTTTTAAAAGAGTAGTTCAGCATTTTGGGAATGCCATGTTTTTTATGATAAATAGCTTAGCTTAGCATAAACACTGGACACACTGGGAAACGGCTACTTCTGCACTTTTTCTTGGAATGGAGTCCCCGCTGGCCGGTCTTTTTGCATAAAAGTGCAGCACTTTGCACTGCATTCACATGTTAGGCTGTTAGAAATAGAAAAACTTTCTGTCGTTACCATTTCATGCATCATTCGAGTATGGTTGCCCTAAGTGCTCGCAGAACCATTTAACAACTTGACTGTGTGTGTGGTGTCGTGTTTATACTCGGTTGTATTTCCATGCAACAGCCACTGATGTTTGCTTTGGCAGCAGTTTGTTGTTACCTGTGTAGTTCTTCTAACTGTTGTTCATCATACCCTGCAGACAGCAGCAAAAAAGCCAGTGGACGTATTTGAAACTAGTTACACAGTTTATCGGTCATATTTTTTCAGAGCAACTGAAACACTGAACAGCAATATTTCCTTGACGACACTGACACTCATTTTGAATTTCATAACAAGTCAGTTAAGGCATCCCCTACTGCATGTGGGACCGTTCGTGAGAACTGAAACTGAAAGATAGCCGTTAAAAGCGATAACAGAGGAATGGAACGGCTCAGATCAGTTGATAAAAGTTTTTTTTGGAGTGTTTGGATAGTTTTTATATGAGACTGTCTTCGGTTATCTGGAGAAAAGTGTTTGTGTTGAAACTGAGAAAATGACAAAACCTCCAAAATGTACCAGCCACCGTGATTACTTTTCATTTTGTGTGTGTTTAGATGTGAGTGTGTATGTGACAAATGCCATTTGATGCTTCTCTTGCACCCACACATCTCCTCTGCCCATTCTGTTGTTATCTCATCCTGCTGTTCTTCCCCTTCTCCTCTGCTCTACCTGTTTTTTTTTGTTTGTTTTTTTTTCTTCTCCAACCTAATAATCCACTTCACTTTCTCCATTCCCTCCACCAGAGGAGCGCGTGGCTCCGCTGGAGGTCAGCCGCTCCAAGCTGTCGCGCCACCTTCAGGGCTTGGTTTTCCGTTGCCACAAATGCACCTTCACATGCTCCAGCGATCAGGCCCTGCAGCTGCACCTGCAGAAGCACGCTGAGATCAAGCCCTACCAGTGCCAGCTCTGCTATTATGACAGCAGTCGACGGAGCCAGCTAGAGGAGCATCTCCGCCTTGAGCACAAGGTCAGTGGGAGTCTGCATGCGACACATGTAAGGTTTGTGCAGCCAAATCTAAATGGATATACCTGACTTAATTGGTTTCAACAGTGTAATTTAAAAAGTGGGACAATCATGGTGCAGCGGTCTCATCTGGCAGATTATTACCACCAGACCTAATGAATGTGGCTTACTTGTGTAAACAGGTTTTAGTAATTGGTCTGGTTAACAGCTGTAATATGAGACGAGACCACTGAAACACTGTGATTTGATTAATTTAAATGGCTGCTGCTGGTTTTGTCAGCTGCCGCCGTTTGAATCACAGATGGACAAAATTTGTCATTATGCAATTTTAAAAAACAAACAAAAACAAAGATCTATATAATCAGGCCAGTTGTAGTTTCATCTTTTGCCATCAGACTCCAAATACAGCGGCGTCGTGGAGAAACTGACATGGAAAAGAAAATGCAAAAAGTTGCCGTAAAAACATTTAGCATGCTTAGACTGGTCTGTGGAATTTTTATTATCCCAGTGCACTAGGAAACAGCAGAGGTCAAAGGTTACTCTGTCGACTTGTAAGGATATTTCATATTCAAGCAGAATGAGGATAGAGATAGACTTGAACAGCAGCAATCAATGCTTTAAAAAACATATTTTTGTTTTTTTAAAATAGCGCAGCAGCAGAACAAGAAAATTCTTTGTTTACTTGGGTATTTTGGATCGACTCAAACTTTAATTGTTAGCAGGTCTTTGCCAAGTTTGTGCGAAACTAATAGTTAACATCAGGTGAAATGTAAATAACTTGCTCCAAGTTTCACTTTAAAATCATTAAAATCAGCCCACCTTAATTTCAGGCAGGAGTAGTTAGTTGTTGTGTGGGTTGCATTATTTTTTTAATAGAAAAATTCAGCAAATGATAAATTATTAGAAGATTCCTGTGGACCATAAAGTCAAGCAGGATTATGAAAGTATGTAAATGTGTTTCTACTGTGGTCCAATTAACATTTATTTTCCTTATTTATGCGATGATATTAAAATATACATGTATTGAGCGGGCAAACGACAAGACAGCGTCGCCACACAGACACCAAATTAAACTCTTTGCTGCATCTTGACAGATAAAGGAGGAAATAAAATATCCGTGAAATGACTACTGAATGACACCCTGGAATCAGATGAGTAGGCGCAGACATATCAGATTGCTACAGCTTCAGTATATTCTAACAACAACCAGGAGAGAAAAGGTTTCGGCTCTCCGTCTCCCCTAATGGGGATAATTCGTGAGATAATGTGAGAAAGCAGATGGTATTTTGGTAGTTTAGATTACAAGAAACTTAAAAGGGCACCCGCTTATTGTTTTCCAATCTTTACATGGCCCAGATCCCTGATTTTTTTTTTTTTTTTAGCAGTGCATGCTGGGATAAGGTCCAGCCCACCTGTTACTTAAAATAGGAGTAGGTGGGTATACATAATGGATGAACAGATAATTAACATAGCAAATATAAAGCTGAGAAAACTAATTTATTCATACCCAGATTTTTTATCAGCACAGAAAATCCAACAAAATCGCTTTTTGGAGATAAGTTTAAGTGGCAGACAGGAGATGGATCGCAGCTAAAAAAAAAAAGAAGATGATTACTCCACTGCCACTGATCAGTGAGTGCAGGTTTTCGAATAGGTTTTTGTAAAGCCACACTGATTGCTTTAGGTATTAAGGCCCTGTGTGCGAGAATTTATCAGGCGTGGTATCTTATATTTTTAACTTAAAATCATGAGGAAGCTGAGAAACAGAAGGTCTGAGGAGGGACCAAGTATTTCTGAAACAATGAAGAAAGGAGGCTTTACATCTTTGGAATGAACTCTGACTGATATGCAGAGTATTTTCGATGTAGTTGTTTCTGTTTGACTCCTAGCAGATGAGATATTTGTACTTGCTGGCACCTTCTGATTAGTGTTTTTTCACAGCTATGTCCTTACCGTTAATTACAGTATGCAGGAGTTTTTGTTTCTTTTAAATGTAGATGAAGGTAAATAAAAATAAATAAAAAAAGTCCATGTGAGGGAGCAGCGTTCCTCCTGAGCGAGGCAATGAGCTAAAGCATATTCATGGTAGGAAAGAGTAGAAGAACAGACATCGTCACTGCTGGGGAGAGTTCTGGAGGACTGCAGTTCTGAGTCTTTAGGGAGTCTGGGAGGAAGAAATTAGTCAGAAACAGTGAGATAATTTGTGACAAGATGAATAAGAAATAAGATGATTTTAAATCTTCTTTGTGAAGAAAAAAAAAAAAACCTTCAGTGTCAGAATATTTTAGAAGAGCATTAAAATTTACTTTGCAGAAGTTGTGATGGTTGATTGAGACTCGAGAGCCTTACAAATCCAGTTTAGCTGTTGTGGTACTAGGAGATGATGTAAATTACAACCAAAAACGTACTTTTCGTCATGCTATTAGGTAAGTAATGGGCTTATTTTACTGTCATACTGTGTATTGAATGAATATAGATCAGAGAAACGTAGCTACTGGAGATATGAAGCAAAAATGAAACCCAATCAGAAACATTTAGCTTCATGGTTATAATCCAGACTCAGAATATATTATTGTAGAATTCTTGAGCTTCTCCAGTTAAAGCTACAACAAAACTGAAAGTAGAAAGAGCGGCCTGTCTAAAAAAAAAAAAAAGGAGAAACTGATGTTGTTGAAGCCTTGACGTGTTCAAAAGCTCCCCCATCTGACATACACATGACACAAAAAACACTTCCTGTTTCTGATCAGGTTATCCGCAACTTTGAGCTGATGGGTCGGGTCAACCTGGACCAGCTGGAGATGATACAGGAACAAGGGAGCAGCGCAGAGGAGGACGAGGAGCGAGAAATGATGGAGATGGTAGTCGATGAAAAAGCTGCTATGGAGGAGGAGGAAGAGGAGGAGGAGGAGGAGGAGGATGACGAAGGAATGGAAATGATGGAGAACCTAGTGGAAGAGCAGAGGGAGATGGACGGTGACGAGATGGACGACAACATCAAAGAGGAGGAGGATGAGGGGGAGGGGGAGGAGGAAGAGGAGGAGGAAGATGAAGTCAAGGAGGTGGAGCAAGAAAAGCCGTCTCTGCAAGGTAACTCCACGTGAAGTGCTCCTTGTCAGAGTCCTGTGTTATGTTTTATCTAATCATGACTCTATGGACTGACGGTGACTATTCTCAAAGGCGAGTTTATGAGCAGTATTAACATATAACGTCACATTATTTTCACACGTAAAATAGCGGTTGTGAGCCGTAAAAGTAAACTTCGAATTCGATTATAGTAGATGCATTTGTTGTCAGAACAAAGACAGACACCGTTCACGCTCATAAGAATACAAATAATCTCGTCTGTCAGCGGCTGTCTGGGTGTAAAAGCAAAACGTGAATCAAAAATGCTTCAATCCTCCTCCTTTACATCAGACTGTCAAACCACTGATGTTTGCTTTTAGAAGAACAAATACACACTTCACACTCAGCCAGTCAAATCCAAAACACGACTGAATATTATTTAACTGCCGTGTATGAGCGGAGCAAATTTCTGCACAAAGCCCGCTGGGATCATGCTGTAAATGATTATCTGCTGAAAAAGCCATTTCCTGTTGTGCTCTCAGTTGTTTTGTCCCACATTATAATGTACAGTATCTCATGTGTATGTTTTTAAGCCAAATAAACATTCCCATTGGTTGGACATCAACCATACGTCTGCAATCGTCTTCATCTCACAACACAACACAACACAACACAACATAACATATTGCGAAAAGCAGATCTAACAGGGAATAATATAGGACACCTGAAACTGAACATTTATATGTACTCCATTTCCCAGAGGTCAATGCATCTTCCATCAGCAGCAGCTGCAACAGCTCTGGACCAAGCAGTGTAGAGAAGCGGCTTCCCTGCGAATTCTGTGGCCGCTGCTTCACCAACAACCTCGAATGGGAACGACATGTCCTTCGGCATGGCATGTTAGTATTTCTCTTATTCTCTACTGTGTCTTTGTGTGTGAGTCTGTATGCTTTATCTGCAAAATCAGCTCCTGTAGCCTGTTCTTTCATGACCACTCTGCTCCTTTATACACACCTCTCTGCTCAGTATGGACCTTTAGGTAAACACCACAGTTTGTGCATTCACACCTGATTCCCTCTTAACGCGGTACAACAGTGAATGGAATAATCATTCTAAGGGTAGCAGTTGGTCAGTCCCCGCCTTTGGACTCTAAATCTTGTTTAATTGCTATTCTGTTGATGTGCTCGTTTAACCCTCTGAACCCCAAGCCGCTTCTGGGCATTTATTTGCTCCTGTCACGTTTCTATTCACTGTGGGGTCAGAACTCTTTGTGCAGTATGACATAGTTAGAATGCCATAAATCCTAAAAGAGGAAAAACCACAGTTGAATTTCTTTGATCATTTAGTTCACAAAAAAATCATAAAAACCAGGAATCAACATGTATATCTATTTTCTCATGGGCGTTACCAATA